TCATATATATGAGATAATGATATATATTTTCTTATCAAGAACAGTATTGGGGAAATTGTAAGACAAAATGGAAAAACTTTATTTGTAACACATTTCATCCATTAGGACTTCATCGGACTGGGTTTGTCGATGTTGCTGTGTCTACATATGCACAAGAACGAGAAATGCTGGTAATTTCAAAATTTTTTGAAAGAAGTTTTTGCAATCTAGCCAAATTCATCTATATTCTTTTTTTTTTTCGTCATCTTTGTTTTTAAATATCCCACATTGGTAGATTTTCTATTATCACAATGTGGGATATTTAAAAACAAAGATGATTGAAAGAAAAAGAAAAAGAATATAGATGAATTTGGCTAGATTGCAACCACCTGATGAATATTGATGAATGTTCTCAAATTTAAAAGCTTGATAAACAAATGACATCCTTGCACTTGTATATAAACATGTGCAACAAAATAAATACTATATTTGTCTTGATAAAGTCCCTCAAAGGGTAAAACACATAGGCTAGGAATTATTTTTCCTTGTCTTTTTTTTCATATATATATATATATATATATATATATATATATTGTAAAGAAGTAGTCATACAAAGAATAAATCAGTAAAGTTAATGTAATTAATGATGAAATCACTTCACTAACAGATTAAATAAGGCATTAACTCACTAACCACTGGTTGAATGACGTGATCCTTGTTTTTAAAAACTGCAAAATGGATGAGATGTTTAGTCCATATTGCAAGTACTTTTGATACTACTTGTATCATCTTTAGGCATGGATGTTATTTTTTAATTTCAGAGCATTCTAAGTCGTGACATTAGATTTTTATTTTGGGATATTGTAAGTGAGAACGTTTATGAATAAATTAATGTGGCAATTCATGATTTCTATTGTTGTAAGTGTTTTTTTTCCATTGACGTGACGTGGACTGATTTGGACACACTTTTTAAAAAAAAACATCTTTCGGCCAGTATAACATTTATTTTCATTTTGGAATTTTACCTGAAATTAAAAAATAACATCCATGCCTGAAAGGATACATGTGGTATCAAAAGTACTTGCAATATGGACTGAACATCTGATCCATTTTACAGTTTTTAAAAACAATGATCACATAACAAGTGGTTAGTGAGTTAATGCCTTATTTAATCTGTTAGTGAAGTGATTTCGCCATTAATTATATTAACTTTACTGATTTATTCTTTGTATGACTACTTTTTTACAATATTAACTGTACTATTTATATATATATATATATATATATATATATATATATATAGTGCAAAAATGATGAGACCTAGCTGCCAATCTAGTACTACATTTAAATTTCTGAAGTTGATGTACTAAATAAGAAAGCTCATCAGAACAATTGCCATGAAAATATTTATAAAAAATGTACAGGGAATCTATGTTATGGTGGTGGGAAAGCAACTAAAACCAAGACGCTAGGTTTATAAAAATATTTGTTTTTTGGCCAATCGAATTCATTCTTTCTTTGTGCAAGAAATGAATCTAAATGATTTGTTGATATTAGATGATAGTAAGTACAACTAATCTTCATAACATTCTTACAAGTGTTGGTCTTTATATGAGAGCAGGGCTTGATGAAAAACTGCATTTACAACATCCCATGTAGATACAGTAAAGATTATAAAGCTGAGACCTGCTATTTCTTTAATATTTAATACATATATACAAATAACAAAGATTTCTGATGGAGTGAGTGATAATACTGAAAGAATCAGCACACATCAATTTAACTTTTAGATGCATAAATCAGACCAGCATGGATTTCAGCATGGTGTGGCTTTTGTTGCTCAATATTGATATGGGATGGAAAGAGGACAATATAACAATTTACATATGCTTATCAATTCATCTTGGTCTTTGATTGCAGCACATCTAAGAAGCACCAATTTCTGCATTGTCTTTCACTAGAGATATTTTCTGAATTACCAGCAGAGTACATTCTGTCTACTGTTAAAATGTTATTGAGACACTGTATATTAAGTCTAAGCAGCCTTCCCTTTATAAACAGAAGGAATGGTTGGTGTGTCTTAATATAATCTGTCTATGATTCAGAGTGTTGATTCTCTGGTAATAATATTTTTGCCTCACTTCAAATTTGAATTGGCATGTACAAATTTATATTTTGTCATTGTCTGAGCTCAAAAGAGTGAGGAACAATAACCAGTCAGCTCTTTTTTTGCTATAATTTTTGCTTTACCACTTTATAAATCATTTTTAATTTCTTGCTCTTCCTCACTTGGTTTTTAATATATATATATATATATATATATATATATATATATATATATCCGACAGTATGAAGAAAAATATACAGAAAAAACAAACAAAAATCCTAATATGCAATTATGTTGTTTTAATGTTAATATAATGTCAACGTCAGATGGTCTACTAGACCAAAATGTCCAACGTTGACATTATATTAACATTAAAACAGCATAATTGCATATTAGGATTTTTGTTTGTTTTTTCCGTATATTTTTTCTTCATATATATATATATATATATATATATATATATATTAAGATATACATTTTAAAATATCTCTTTTAAGCCGTAATACTATTTTGTACTCTCCCCCATGAATTATTTGGGGTGGAAATTCTTTGTTTAGAAAGGAATTTTGGTAACATTTCCTTGTTAAAATATTGCTCTGTTGTTTGTATTCTCAAATTGTCTTACATTGGTTTATGTTTTTTTCAGGGTCATTTAGTTTGGAGATACAGAAAATGTCTCCGTAGGTACTGCCTGGATCGAGGTTACCCAACAAACATTAGTCAGGAATTCAATGTCTCAACTCCTATTGAAATAACATCAGCCTATATGCATAATCGCAGACGAACATTGTTTTTCTTCAATGGTAGGTTGCCTTTTTCTTAGATGTTTTTATTCTTGAAATAAAACGTCATTATTCCCAACACATTTCAAAATTATGTTTACATTATTTGCATATGGACTAATGTCCATATGATTTTTGTTATTATCTGAATATTTTGGTTGTTGTGATCTCTGGCCTTCTTCAGGCATCTGTTGATCTATTAACATTTAGGGAATTTCAAACTGAATACTTTATTTAATCTACAGCGGTACATTGTTCTTATTTTGCTGTCCATGTTATTGCTTGCCTTCTTCCCAATGAGTCTACTGACAGGCTCTGGGGATTGAACCGACAATGAACCAATGTTTTATTCCACTAGTTTATTGTCCGGTGAGACAATCCTGAGTCTAAGATTTGGAGTCTTAAAGTTAATGTTCTTGACTGCCAGTTCTTTTTTCTTACAGTTGCTATTGTTGAAGCTTTGCTGTCATTTCTCTTTATTTATTAACGTTTTCCATTTCTATGCTAGGTCTACTCAGTAGGTCTTCATAGTTTAGTTATGCTACAAATATTGTGATAATAACAACAAACACTAGGACATTAATCCAAATATAAATTATGATAATCCCCTCATCCCAGAAATTCACAGAGAAATAATCTATCATAAGAAGTGATAACAAGTGTGAATTGTTGTAAATGTTAAAGGTTAAGTATTCATTTGGAGAGAGGGCTAACATCCTCTCTAAAGCTGTACGTGTTAAGTTTTTTATTAAGCTGTTTGAATTCAGAGAGTTTTTGTTATTAATTAAAAAATTCTTCAATATGAAATTGCCTTGAAAAACTGCACTTTTAAAACTTTTTAACTGATCTCTATGATGAAAAATGTGTAACTACTGCAGGCTTAAATAAAACCTGATATTATCATCAACTATGTCAGAATCAAAGAATCTTTGTAAACCCCACAATCATTTCTTTAGCTGCATAGTATTTGCCTCACCAGGGCTACATATGATTTTGAATTCAGAGTTATCCTTCTTCTAAACTGGTTGCCAACCAAGGCTGAAGAGCTCAGCCTGCTCTACTATTTACCCATAGTTAGAGGTTTTTGAATTCAGTGTTGTCTTTTTGCTAAACTGGCTATAGGACATAGTTTGTCCTGCTATTTACCCATAGCTTTGGGGGAGGAGAAGAGATGGATTCATTCATATCCCAAGGATATTTGTACGTAAGTCAATTTTAATGAACTCAACTGGAATTCAAACTTAGCCTTCCAGTTTCTTAATCCAAGCCACTACCCATTACTCCACCATTCCTATAATTTTATAATGCACCTATATTTCATTCAGTTTTATTTAATACGGCTATTTTAATCTAGATTAGAATGGCATAATGAAGTTGCTGATTTTTGATATGACCTTAAACAAAAGATTTGGAAGGAAACTCCAATCAATATTAGAAAGAGCTATAACATTTAGTGAATTTGAGAAGTGTCATTTCCTGAAAAACTGTTTAGTCAATGAATATTAAATATTTCCTGTATGGAAATGGCTACTTTTACCATTACCATGATTGCGTTATTCATTTTCTACACCTTATCAACTCTTTGTGGGTAATTTAAAGCCAGAAAATATTTGTTAGATTGTAAGAATTTTTTTTTGTAGATAACAATGACTTAGTGATACAAATTTTAATAATTAACCCATAGCTGAGGGAGAAAAACTGGATGAATACTTTTTCCAAGGGTATTTGCAAAAAGGAATATAACAAATCCAATGGGAAATGGAACTTGGCTCTTTGATTAACAAATCCAAGCCATTATCAATTACACCACCTGCACATCCAAGCTTACAGCATTCCCAAACAATCATCCATCTAGGGACCAACTAGATTCGATGGTGTTTAACTTTGATGATCATACGGGAATTGGTGTTTCAAAGTAATGTGGCTGGAAGCTGAATATGAAGGGAATGGAGATGATTCATCCTTAGGTATATGGCTTGAGGTATAGGGGTGGTGAGATCAAGGAATGTACATTGTCAAAATACATGTGATGGAAATAACAATAGATTAGTGAAAGGCTTGCAACATTTTGTCCGTGGGAAAGAGATTGTAAGGTGGAAAATATTTTATCACCCACAATCTGCGAGACTTCACGTTCACATCACGTTGAAACACTGGTTCCCATACAATCACTGAGGTTAAGCAACATCAAGCCTGGTCAGTACCTAGATGGGCGACTGCTAGGGAATAGGACTGTGCTGTAAGTTTGGATGTGCAGGTGGTGTAATTGAAAATGGTTTGGAATTGTTAATCAGAGAGATCAGTTCCAATTCCCATTCGGTTTGTTGTAGTCACTTATGCACAAATACCCTTGGGAAAGATATGAATCCACATCTTCTCCCTCCATCTATGGGTTAATTAATAAGTCATGTATCACTAAAACTATTATTATCCCCTCACCAAAGAAAATGCGTATAATTTAGATTTTGGTATTAAATAACCGATCAAGGTTGATATGCAACTAAGCAAAAGCAAGCAACCAACTACAAGTCTGTGTAGATGCTTTTGAACTCTATCAAGACAAGCAAGAGAGGATTGTGCAGCTCCAGCCCAGATATGGAAGCAATACTCTACTTTTGGTCTGATCTGACTCTTGTAAATAAAAGAACAGGAACATCAACTTAAACATGTGTATCCACTAGATATAACGTAGATATAAGTTGAGAATCCATTATCTGAAATTCTTGGGACTGTTTTCAGATTTTTTTTGATTTTGGAATACAGGTTATTTAATTTGCATATAGCATCTGTAAAATGGTGCAACTTGGGAATAGAACCCAAGCATAAACATGATATCCCTGAAGGTAGTTTTATATAAAAAAATCTACTCAGTTACAATTTTTGTTTTACTTTTTGCAACCGTTTAATAACTGTTATGTGGTCCACCCCTTTTTCATACAAGTGGACTTGACCAGTGTGTATTTGTACTACTGCCGGTGATATACCCAAAAGTCGGAAGAGGTAGAGTAATCGAGAGAGTAAGAGTGTGAGGTAACCAGTTGGTAGGAGTCACAGTTGCGAGCAAGTAGATTCAATAGAAAGTCCTACTTCGATACTGAATTTCCCAGACTGTATATATATTATTATTGTTACTAATCGCATTTCTGGATCTACTAATCATATTACCAATTGTATTATTACGTCAATACATATATTTGTTATATTTTATTCCTGCGTTTGTCATTTATTGGAGACCGGATTTCATCTTGGAATCCACAACAATAACTTAGGTGAAATTATTTTAAGATTATCAAAGAGAAGAAAAAAAAAAACAAGAATTAAGTAGTAGTTTACTGGTACAGGTTAAGAATCCTTTATCTGAAATTCTTGTGACCGGAAATGCTTCGGGTTTTCAGATTTTTTTTAATACAGGCTATTTATTTATAAAATGGGACAACTTGGGAATGGAACTCAAGCATAAACACAATATCTCTTTACATTTCATAACACAGCTTATACATATACCCTGAATCTAGTTTCATCAGTGAACATATGCCGTTTATAAAACTTTTATATAAGCAGCATGTGACATGTCTGATGTTGACGAATGCACTCCATCAAGCAATACATAATCGAGATCATTGTTTTTCTATTTTTCATTAATTTCTGTTCATTGCTTTCAGCATGAAATTTTAACAATTTCAGTTTCTTTATGTTGTATATATGGTTGTTCCAACACCAAACTCCTCAGTCAGACGCTTCATACTTACAACTCTGCCTAGTTTTTCCAACAATTTGACTTTCTGTGATTTTGAAAAATATAAATGCTTTTTTTTTTTTTTCTTTTCACTACCAATATGGGTATCTGCAGGTCTTTTTGAGTAATATCTTTACTGAACACAAAACATCTGGTAAGTAATCCATGAACAAAGGTGTTGCTGTGATAATCTCTAACAAAAAACTGGTGGCTATGTAGCTGGACTGGGGAATTCCCTACCCAGGGCAGATGAGCTCACTTACAATAGCTGCACATTACCTAGGAACCTTTCCAGTGCTTCCTGAAATTTTCCATTTGTGGTATGTCATCACCTGAAAAACTTTTGGATTTTGGAATTTCAGATAAAGGATATTCAACCTGTACTAATAAAAAATAGAAGGCATTATATAAGCATTCAAAAATCCAAAGTAGCAGTGAATGTGTTAAACAATTGTTTGCAGTGAAATATTTTTTATTACCAAATTAACTTCTCTTTATTTTTTCATAGGAACCTCTTTATACCACACTGTAAGGTGTCTGCGGTGGTTGAGAAAAAGTGGTTGTAGCAGCACAGAGACTGAAATGCAGCCGGGACTTTTGTCGAGCCTTCGGAGTATTGACGCAATGTTTACCCATCAAGGCAACTTCTATGTGGTTCATGGTGGAAGTTATTTTACAAAAATGCTGAGGTCTATGAAGAACAATATCTTCCAACATGGTTCCATAGCAGAGAGTTGGTATGGATGCCAACGGAAAACATTTTGAATAAAACATTCTGAACTTTTTGTATCTGAATTTCTGACATGAGATGATATCATTATTTACATTCAGATTAATATCCACATTTTTGTTGTTGTTATCACAATGTTTTGAGCAATGTGTCCTTCAGCCTTCATCAGTATCCATCAATCCAGGTAACTGTTATGCAGTTTTGAACTGAACACTTTATTTAATCTATAGGTTAGATTGTTCACATTCACTAGACAAGGTCTGTGGAATGAGAACAATTTACCACTGTAGATTGAATAAACAGTTCAGTTCAAAAATTCCCTGAAGGTTATCTGGATTGACAATTTACCTGAAGAAGGCCAGAGAGCACAATGGATGAAATGTTGTGATAATGAGAAGAAAGACGAAGATATTAGTCTGACTGAATAATGAAATAATGACAACTCCTCATTCTTCATATTCAGACAGAAACGAATAAAGTAATCTGTTTATGGAATGTATAATATTGCAGTTCATATTTTAGATTTTTTTTAATCATTTCACCCCAAGTAACACAATAAAGCCACTAAGGTGCAAGAGGTTATGGAGTGTGAGAGAGTATGTGAAAAGAAGACAACGATTGACATTGCACTGAAATTTTTGAAGATTAAAGTTGACTGGAAAGCAAGAAGCTAGAAAAGAGTTTCAAAAGTGTGAAATGTGAGAGAAGAAACACTTAGTATTGAATTTATAGTTTAAATAGATTAAATTTAATACTTCCAAGGAGCAAAATACATTGCAAAACTAATCTAAATTGACTGGAAGGAGGATATTTTTTTTGCTAAAATATCTGATTAGCGTCCATTTTTATTCATCTTTCATCGCAATGTAGTTTTCTTTATTAAAATATCTCCCCAAAATATACTTTTCTGAAACTTTATTTAAGGAATATTAGCTGATTTAAAGTATAATTAATCTGATTTGAAAAAAATATTATTTACTTTAAGTTTAAAATATCAAAGAAATGCATTTTTTTTAACATGGTGGTAGCTGTTTATTTAAAATGTTGACAGCTTGATGATAGCTGGATGTTTACTTAATGTTTTTCTATGGCGACTTTATCTGTAAAAAAATTAAGAATATACCATGAGTGCCTTTTTTATATAATTTTCAAGTACTCAGTAATCTTAAAAATTTAGGAAAATATTTTCTGTAATCTAATATTTTATTGAAGTTTAGATACTTTGGCTTTAAATTTACTACATTTATTGCTCTTATTTTCTGATAATGTTGTCTATGGACGTCCATATCTACAAAAATTGGCATGTTTATATACATACAAAAAGAAAATTCAAAATTCTTTTAAAAATATTGGTGTTTGATGAATTTTACTAAGCTTTTCAATTTATGATCAGTAAATGTAGTTCCTAGTAAATGAAAACAATTCTTGTAAAAATTAATTATTTATCAAAAAAAATTTTTTTCTAAAGACAATAGTGTCTTTAATACATCTTAGATATAAAAACAATTAAAAGCTTTTCAAATCAAATAATGTCTTAGTTTTATTGCATTTTTTATTTTATGATTCAGATCAGATTTTTCAGTAAATGGTGTTTCTATTTTACAAAAAAATTGATTTAAATGCTCCAAGGAGTACTACTTTTAACTAATATAAATATTAAGGGGGTAAAATTTAATTTCTCAAAATTTCATAAAATTAAGTAAGGGTGGTGGGTAACAGATGTAAAAAACATATTTCTACCAAGATTTTGTAAAAAAAAAATTTTAAAATAATTTCATTCATTTGTGAATAAGTCCTGAAAGTTTCATTAAAATCTGACAATTATTTGATTTTTGCAAGAATTTTCAAATCACTGTGACTTTTACCCCCAAAAAGATGCTAAAATTTCCTATACTAATCATTGCTTGATTGAACAATAAGCCTAATGAACCATGTGACAAAACTCATCATCTGTATTCTAATGAACAGAGTGCGCAGCAGAATCAGCTCAAAGATAAGAACAGTGCAGGTTCATTAAAGACACTGGAACAAGGAATGTGATATTCATGCTCAGAATGTTATCAGAAAGAGTGGTACAGATGCTGAAGGACATGTACCTATGTTTCATAGATTATGCAAAGGCCTTCGACAAAGTACACCACAAGGATCTGATGGAACTGCTCAACAACCTTGATATATTCAGGAAAGATATCAGAATAATCAAGAATTTATACTGGCAGCAAACAGCAGTGAATATACAAAAATAGAAAGGGGTGTAAGGCAAGGATGCATCTTCTCACCCGACCTGTACAGCAACCTATACAGCGAGGCAATCCTGAGAGAATTAGAAACCCTACTGGAATTTAGCATTGGTGGCCACAATCTTAACAACATAAGATATACAGATGACAGACACAGAAATTAAATTACAAAATCTCCTACAGAAGGTAGAGACAGAGAGTGAGAAGAAGGGACTAAGCATAAACTACAAGAAAATGGAGCATAAGAGGATGTGCTCGAAATGCGATCTGAAGGTCAGGAACACTAGAATCAAGCAGATGCGGATGTTTAAATACCTGGGAAGCGTCTTGACAGAGGATGGTAAGTGCAACACTGAGATCTCTAGGTGTATTGGGATGGCCAAGAACACATTCTGAAAGTTGGGCAGAGTACTGCAAGACAGGAGGATATCTTTGGTAACAAAGAATACTGAGCTGTTATGTGACATATGTCCTTCTTTACGGCAGCAAATGTTGGATGATTTCCTCAAAGATGAAGAAGAGACTTAAGGTGACAG